AAAATATGAGCAGAAAATTCAGCTTGACTAAAACTAAAAAACTAAAACTACTAAACTACTAAAGTGGAAATTAAATATAAATAGTGCAAAAAGTTCAAGCTCAATGATGGATAGATCAGTGTTACGAGCTGTCAATGACACGACTTCAAACTTGGTTTTGCCATGTTTTATGTTGTTTTAGTATTTTTAATTTTGTTGTTTAGCCTGTTGAACTTTATTTTAGCATGTTGTGTGCATCAGGCTTTTGTTATGTTAATGTTAAACCTCATTTGAGTAGTACGTTGGTTATATTTTTTATATTGCTTTTTGCTTTTAGAGCTGCAGCATTTTATACTGTGTTATTGTACAGAAGCCCGCTCTGCAATCCTTGTGTGTGTTGCTGCTGTATGTAAAATTCACTTGATAAACAGGCCATAAAGGTAATGATATAGTGTTGAAAAGAAATGGTCAAACTGCATTTTCTTGGTTAATTTTAATTATCACCTAGCAGCTACCAGGGAGAGTGCATCTTGCCAATAAGCCTTTCTCACTGCAGCAGAATTACAGTGGTTTATATAGGAATGTTCTATTTGATTTGTTACATTTTATTTTATACTGTTTTAGACTGTTTTAGCTCTACTCCCTGCTCATAATATTTTTGTTTTAAGAATCTTGGATTCATTCACCAAGAGTTTCTTGGGGAGCAGTTAAACAACAAACTGGACTGGACGGACCACACTGAGGCCCTCTACAGGAAAGGACAGAGCAGGCTGTTCTTTTTAAAGGGGGCTCAGGCATTCTAATGTTCCATATGATTTGTTATTAGGCATAAAAAAATGTTAGTCCTGTAGTATATGAAGTGAGGGGATTTGAAATAAGGCTTTTTTCTAAAAATGAATTCAGCATGGAGTTAAAATCTGCATCTTGGTCTTTCTCTCTTTACCAATTACTCCTTTTCAATGGAACAGAGTCTCCAATTGTCTATAAGTCAAAGTGTCTTTGGACTCATACCCCAACTTAAAAGTGAATCAAAACTTGTTTTGAACTGACACTCTTCACATCTCTGTGTATCAACTTTGGACAATCAATTAGAAAGCACTTTGATCTCCCCACCACGATGAAGATGTGCTGTCCAAACCAGCTGATGAAGCTTTTATCCCTCCATGTCCATTTTTTATTGTAAAAATACAAAAACAAGCAAACAATGGCTACTTTGTTGTCTGATTGAAAGGGCCAAATTTGTATTTGCTAACTGGTTACTGTTAGCTGCTAAGGCAGTCACTTAAGTCAATACATAAACATAGACTTTTACTAGCCCTAGTACCGGAACCCCCGTGTGTGTGTCGTGATTTTTGATTTGGCACGCAGTCACACTGCTACGTCTCAAGCACTGTAGTAATATTAATGTATATATGTTCATGTAATATATAATATATATATATATATATATTATGGTGTAACAGTTTGGGTCCGTGTTTCTTGGTTGAGCTAATGTTATCTTGGAGAGAGTGGAAAAAGGCGACAGGCATAAACTCACAGCCACGCTGGTACTGGGGTTTCCACAATACTTGTTTATTACTAACACATCAACTTTATCAAGCCTGGTGGTATGCCTACTATTGAACATAATAGAGGCCACACGTAGTCTAAACGTTACTGTTGAGTTGAGAGGCAAAAGGAAAACAGGAGCTCAGCAACAGGCATCCATTCACAACGGGTGTACTGCTCAACTAACTCAAGACAGGTTAGGTGTTGTCTGATGATGCGTCTCTCGTATCTTGGCAACTCAGTTCAGTTTAAGTTCGGCTGTTACAATGACTTGTTCACATCGGCCGCACCTGCATTACGTATGTGTGGCAGAACATCTTGATTTAACAAACATAGGGCTAGGAGTAGCAGCTCTGTAGCAGCCATGCAGCTGACAAGCTCTGGATATGAATGCCGCCAATGTGAACTGCTAATATTCTATTTCCTACCTTTGAGAAGAAAAAGTGGCAGAGCGTCATTCCGCCGTGCGCCGACAGTAACTACACCTATGACTTTTACACATTATTATATTACTGTTAACCATAATAAATACTTTTGGTTTCAATGAGGTTTCAGTATCAATTGATTGTATTATGATCTTGCAATCTTGTTGGCAGACAGTTTCCTTGCATAACCAGCATACACAGAGCAACATTCTCATTCATTTGGAGTCATCATAATGCATGTTAGAAGTGCTGAAACTGATCAAAAGTAGTGTGAAGATTTTTACATGAGAAACACATGCGCACGCACACACACACACACACACACATATGTTATTAGTCAAAAAAGGAAGTGAAAAAGAAACTTTCAACATCTGGAAGCTCTTTCACCCCTTGACCCCATCCCCCAATCCATTCCCTTTCCATGCTTTCTCCATTTCACTCCAGGTCTTCTAGACCTGTGTCTGGAAAGAGTTAAGTGTATACACTAGCATATGTGTGTCGTGATATACACCAGCCATAATGTTATAGAGCCCTATACGCAACAAACTGCAATGCACTGTGTTCTGACACCTTTCTATCAGAACCAGCATTAAGTTTTACAGTAGCTCATCTGTTGGATCTGACCACTCGGGCCGGCCTTTACATCAATAAGCCTTGGTGGCACATGACTCTGTCATTGGTTCATCACTTTTGATAGGTACTGACCACTGCAGACCGGGAACACCCCACAAGAGCTGCTGTGTTGGAGATGATCTGACCCTGTCATTTAGCCATCACAATTTGGCCCTTGTCAAATGTAAGTCAAATCCTACATTTTTCCTACTTCTAACACATCAACTTTGAGAACAAAATATTAACTTGCTGCCAACACTGACAGGTGTCATGATAATCAGTGTTATTCACTTCACCAGTCAGTGGTTATAATGTTATGGCTGATCGGTGCATGTGTGCACACACATAGGCCAGGCCGGCAAGAAATAGCTTTGACCTCCAAATTGGAAACCAAGCGGTTAGAAGTGCTATTGCAAGCTTATTTCAAAATATATGCAAATAGACCATCAGCATAATGATCACACATCAAACATTTTAACATTTTCTTTTGTTTCTTTTATTTTCAACACAGGCCTAATAAAATAACTGAAATAAATAAGTTCTATCATTATATGTGTTGTTGTCATCAATTCATATCAATATATCATTACACATTTGCAAATGCTGCTTGCAAGTAGTAGATACAATGTCTGTGAAACATCATATCAGAGGATCAGTGGATTAAGAAGTTGCCTACAAAATGTGTTACTGTCCTAGGAGCAACGAATATTGTGTTTGTTCACATCTCTCAGGCTCTCTCTCTTATGTCCTGTCTGCTTTTTGTCAGTTTACAACTATAGCTGTAGGAGCACACCCTCCCTCCACTGCGTCATCCAGGGCAGAGGGGGAGGTTGCTCCTTTTAAACCAATACTACAAGCTGGATTGCAACCAGAGGAACCGCTGACTTGATGTCACTTCAGCAGAGGAGGACCTGAAAACCTTGAGGACGTGGTCTACTCTCCGCTCCGAGGGTTGGAAGTTGCATTAGACCAATTAGAGCTGTTTCACCATGGCGCATTGACGGAAACATTCATTAGAAACGCCGGTTGGACTTTGGTGTCGGACATGTGCAGTAAAATAACATAATATTAGAGATCAGACATCAGGGATTAACAGGCTGCAATTAGGGAAGAAGAGATCCAGCAGAGAGCTGCAGCGCCGAGGGGGCGCACGGAGATCACGCACGTGTGTGCCGGTTTGTGGTTTTACTCTTGGCTCGGTGACATGGTGTGATCACTTCTCTTACATGTGAGGACACGGACTGAAGGATCCATCATCTTTGGGAGAAGATCAACAGAGTTAGGGTAAAGATGCCACGGAGAGCAGTGTGGTATCTGTGGTTGCTGATCCTCATTGTGGTGTCGGTGTCTGTCAGTGGATTTCCCACGAGGACTTCAGTCGGAGACAGACACACTACAGCGTCTCTCACTGAGGTAAATTGTTTTTTTAGATTATATGGGTAGCCTACAGAGAAAAGAGTGGTGCTTTTGAGTTTTTTCTCATGAGAGAGTAGACTTACTCATGGACACTGAGATTGCTATTTCACTTGTGTTTCTGTACAATGATACTTTCCTCCAGTAGAGGAGACTGTACTTTCAGAACTGCGTTTCTAGGACTGCATTTCATAGGACATTCCTAGACCCTAGTTTTTCATGACAGCACCACCAAGCCAAATAGCAAATTCCATCCAAATACTTTATTCAAGTACTTATAGTTTATTCCACCAAAATGTTGCTGTATGCAAGTACTTAAAGTTTTAAAGACTTATTTTACCCAAATAGTCCTTTACTTATAGTATACATATAGAGGTACAAGTTGGACAATTAGTGTTATTAGTTCATTATACTCAGGTAAAATAAGGAATCATATACTATGCTCTTGCAGTCACTATCTCAACCAGATATTTGAAAGGTCAGAGAGCTACAAAAGGGCTGGTTTATATGGGCTAACAGGGCTAAGCCCTCCCTATCTTTTACAGTAAAGATGAAAAACTATTATTAAAAACCTTAGAACATAT